CGCACGAGGAGGCTCCCGAGCGGCCGCTTCGGGCTGGCAGGGCGGCAGAGCCTGATGCAGCTCTGTCCCGACACAGGCTGGGCTGACCTGAGGTGGCTCCCGGGGCTGCCCTCGCTGCCTGCCGCTCCGGCCGAGAGCGGGGATCTCTGCCTTGCCGGTGCCCCGCTGTGCGCCCCGGGCGCGGGGAGCTGGAGCGGAGGAGCCCGGAGCCTTAGGGGCCGGCGTGGGCTCCCTGGTCGAAGCTCCCGCGCATCTGTCGTGCCTTGTCTCGGAGTTTCCGTTTTTTTTGTTGTTTTTTTTCTTCAAGCTTGCTCATTAGCGGCCCTGGGGTGGGCTGAGTAATGGTGTTTTAGTAGGCTGAATAGGCATATCGTGCTATTTTACCGGTCTCACGGATGTTTCGGTTTGCATACGGCTGTACATAATTGTATTTCGCATCTTTTAAAAGGGCTTAAATGACTTGCTGCTTTTGAGACTTGATGTTGGGTGTCTGCCTCTAGGAGCCTAAACTTTTCATATCAAGATTTTTGCCACTCAAGACGAAGCTAAGTAGGGTCGCTGCCTTAGAGCTTTTCAATTATCTGCTTATGTTTTTATTGATAGCGGGTTTTACAAAATAGTGCTATTGGAAGATCTAATCATCTTGTGAGGCTAATTTTATATCAGATACTATGGTTTAAAGGAAGTAGAATTTATGACGGTGTAGTATTGGCATATTTAAATATAGAGGCTACTGCGAAATAGTAAAGGATACTAATTGCAGCTCAGAAAAGTTTTTCTTGCAGACTTCGTCATGTGGATACTCTAGTTTTTAGTTAATGTTAAAGAAAGCATAACACAGTTTCCTTAAAGGAAATACTGTAACGTGGTAAAGTAAATGAATCTGTCCGCTGGGTGTCTCTACTTCCAAATAGGATTCCACTTGGAAAGATGCTACATGATAAAGCTTCAAAGTAACTAATGTTGTTTTGACTACAACTGCTTCTTAATGTTTGTTTTGCTCAGTGTTTTCAAATTACAGTAGTTTTTTGGTCTCATGTGTTGACCCTAAATGCAGTTTTGCTATTTCTTTGAGCCCATTTTACACATTTATTTCTCTCTTAGCTTCCAAGCAACATAAAGCGTAAAATTTATTTTTCTGCCAGCTTCACAGGACTTATTTCCAGCCCTGTACTGTGTCTGCAAGTCTAGTTTTGCAAAAAATAACAGGAATGTGTTAAATGCATTGAGAGAAAGTGTGAAACTATGGTTTGAGCTGTTCAGAGTTACACAACATTCTACAATTGTTATTCTTGTTCATATCTTTATTTTTCTTCTTTGTTGTTTTTAAGGGTTCTACGTTTGGAACTAAATAAAGATAGAGATGTGGAAAGAATACATAAGAGTGGTATCAACAGCCTTGATATTGAGAATATCGAGGGAAGATAGTAAGTATATACTCACATTTTTACCTTCTAAAGTACTTCACTGTGTTTTGGTACTGTGGATTTATTTTCTTGATGAACTTCAATTAAGATAATGAATATTGTAACTTGTGTGCTTTATTGACACTTTCAGCATGTTATCCGGTGGATCAGATGGTATTATTGTAATTCATGACCTTGAAAACTTGAGCGGAGAGCCACAGTACACATGTAAAGCAATTCATCTTGTGGGAAGGTAGGTACTCAGAAATTCTATTAAAAGATCATAGTTATGTGTGTGACTAGCATTAAACTCACAAATTTAATGTGTGTTCTTTCTTTCTAGGATAAAAAGGCTGTAGAACATGTTGTCAGGAATCTTTGAAGGCTAGCATGATGCATTATGTTTTTTGATATGCGAAAATAAAGCAAGAAACTTTTGTGAGGATTTACATGATTTACTAAATAGCAGAAGCTAATTTTTTATTGATTGTCTACCCTAACAGTTACAGTGTATTTACATAGGTGATTCTCTGACATTGTTTGACTGGATTTTTGGCAGATTGAAAGTTAAAATGGAGGTTATTAATTGTATTCATATGGAAACTAGACAGGCTTGTGCTGCTGTAGACCACACACACAAAAAGCTAGAGTTAGTACTCCAATCTCCTGTTTTAACACTAGCAAAATGGTTTTTAAGAAACCCAACCCTCTTCCAATCACAGTTCTTCACCTGTGAATCTTCTTACTGTTACAATTTGCTGTATCTAAGCCAGTAACTATGAGAAAGTAATTCTGGGAGTTGTAGAAATATTTCTTGTATCCTATGTATATAATAATTGATTCTTTGAATAATTATGTGTTTAGTCAAAAGAGAAGTTATCTTTGCATAACCTATTCATGTGATTGGAAAAAAAAAATCTAATACAACTTTGAAGGTATTGGTTTTATTTACCCTCTCTTGTTCCCAGCTTTACTAATAGCTGTTAAGTTCACCAGGTGTTCATCAGGTACAGAAGTAATTAATACTGACTTCTTAAGAATATGTTTGAATGAAGACAGGTGTGTTACTGACAAAAACAGAACATATTTTCTGAATAGCAGGGTACTACCATACTGTGTGTATGACTCAAAGCCTTTATTGATATTTTTTTTCAGGCTTTCCCTGCAGGAAGTATAAATTTGCCCATTATGGGCATTAAGTGTTAATTTCTGTAGTTGCAGCTTTTATTTATCAATTGAGTAGGGGCATAAATCATACTAGTAGAATCTGATTTTGTGTGACAGTGTTCTAAATGATAGGCTTATTATTGCTTAAAGTAACCATAGTAGGGTTTTTTGCCTTGATTACTTATTCCCAGTATTCCGGTAGCTTCCTAGCATGTTTTAAATACTTATTGTAGCTAATTAGCTACAGATAAAGTTTCAGATATTGGAATATTACTTATCCAGAGTCATATGTATGACATCTTAAATGAATTTATAATTATCAGTAAGAAAGACTTCTGATCTGACTATCTGGCTATATTTGTAGATAATGACATGTTGAAAAGTTTGCCTCTGTTCCAACTTTGCAGGGCACAACACAACTCAGGTCTCAAAGCTGCTTAAAGGTTAAGCTCTTGTTAGAGGCACTTTGGAGCTGTTTCTGAACAGGTTCTGAACTGGGCCTACTGAGGGCCTAGTAGTTTAGAACATCGGAGGAGTTAATTTCTGATGGTTGGCTGTGATTTATTTACCCACTGTTTCTCATCTAGAATGTAGGGCCACTATTGCAAAAAATGTTCTACTAGGAGTCAGCTTTACATGGTTTCATATGATCCATGCTGTCCTGTGGCAAAAGCTGGCATTTGAGAGTAACTGAACAGTACTAACTTCTAGATGATATATAGCTGATGCTTGTGTGTAAGCTAGTCTCTTGTACGCAAAACCTGTCTGGGAAGAATGGCAGTGACCTTAGTATCCATATAATTAATTCTGGTTTTTTTTGGTAGTAAAGGTTGGGATATTCAGAATAATTGGTGATAATACTGCATATAGAATGAACTGGGAATAACAGTTATACCCCTGCAGTAGTTGTCTCACTGGAGGCCAGGACACTTGAGAAAACAATGCAAATTTAAGAGCTGAAGTGAAGAAATCTAGTGAGACTTTCACTAGCTGCAGATAGAGCCACTTGGACTGTTTGCATGTGTACTGCATCTGTCTGGGATGGAGTTAATTTTCTTCATAGTAGCTTGTGTGGTGCTGGTTTGGATTTGTGACTAGTCTTGATAACACACCAGTGTTTTGGCTGTTTCTGAACAGTGCTTGTTTAGTGTCAAGGCATTCTCTGTTCCTCATTCTGCTCCCTCAGCAAATAGACTAAGGGTGGAAAACAGGCTGGGAATGACACAGCTGTGGGACAGCTGACCCAGATTGACCAAAGGGATGTTGATATCCATACCATACAAGGTCATGTGCAGCAATAAAACTGGGGGGGGACTTTTACAGGGCTTGCCATTTGGTTGGGGTCTGTATGGGCATCAGTCAGCCTGTGATGAAGGTTTCCTCCAGTGTCACTTGTTTGGGTTTTTTTTGTGAGTTGCTTCTTTCCTTTTTACTTATTTAAAATGTCTTTCAGTCCATGAGCTTTCTCACCTTTGCTATTTGGATTCTGTCCCTCATCGTACTGTGGGGGGGAGTGAGCAAGTGGCTGTGATGGTGCTTAGCTGCATAGGGTTTACCCACAACAGCATGGTACTTCTGAGTCTGGGAGCATGAATTTGGGCACTGACTCTGGATCCATGTGGATCTAGCTCAGGTATGAGTGACCTAACAGGTATGTGGAATGACCTGGATTGTTCAGAGCCTGATCAGATAGTTGAATCTTATCCTGGAGCTGTCAAGATTGGCTCGGTGTCCCTTCTTCCCACCGCTGTTAATGTATTACTAATTATATTGCATTCTGTTATTATGCATAGCTGAGCTGAAAGTTTCATACTGTTTTATTTTTCAATGTAAAAATAATAAACTCATCAGTAACTCACTTCACTGCTATCTGGTGACTTCAGTATACATGAATTTCTGATAGTTTTGTAACTGGAATTTAGTTAATAATCATGAAGTTTTTTTGAACCGTATGTGATTGGGTTTTTTAGTGGATACATTTCTAAGAGTGAGATTCCATAAGTATAAGTGCTTTGTAGTGCTAGGTACTCTAAACATTAGTATTTTAAAATTTCAAGACATTAATGACTCTTATGCCTCAGACTGTCTTAACTTAATACATGCTACAGATACAATATTTTGAAAAGGTAAATCTGTAGTTTCTTGAAGTGAAGGCTCTTCAAAATAATTAACATTGGTTGATTGAAAGTCGAGGCACTAAAACAACTAGTTTTTGAAAATTTCAGTACAAATTAAAAAGTTTAAACTGTGTTCTCAACTCGTCATTGAATATCAAGACAATTGTAAGATGTTTATCAAGACTAACCAATTGGAATATTTTCCTTGATTTTTAGGAGCCATCCTTATGTACATATCAAGACAATTGTAAGGTGCTCTAACCAATTGGAATATTTTCCTTGATTTTTTTTTTTTAGGGGCCATCCTTATGTACATAGATTCAGTGTGGAGACGGTTCAGTGGTATCCTCGTGACACTGGCCTGTTTACATCCAGCTCATTTGATAAGACCTTGAAAATATGGGATACAAATGTTTTACAAGTAAGAGGACTTTTACAGTTTGCATGCTTCTTTGTGTACACATTATTCCTCATCTGCAGGTCTCCTAGAGCTCAACAGGACCAAGCATCTAGGAGATTGAAAACCAGCTGGTAGGACTGTGGGTGCAGCAGCAGGGTGGTATGGTTCTGGTATTCATGCATACTGTGGCCTGTTTCTGAAAACCTGAATGTCTAAACTGAATGACAGCATGGAACTCTTGGAACAATTCCCTTCTGCTTGTTCTGTGAACAGGAATACAGCTATTTGAATTTATGCTATGTAAACCTGTCAACTGAGGATTGAGTGCAATGGTTATTTTTAGCAACCCAGATCTAAATACTGCTTTTGAAGGACTGGTGGTCTTTGCATTCAGGCTCAATTAGGTCCCAAATTCAGCTATTGTATTATAGACATGATTTCTAAAAATCAATGGAGAATGAGAGAAGGCATCAAAAAAATGCTAACAAAGGTAACTGGCGTTATTAAAATAGGTACTATAGGATATTAAGTGGCTTTGACTCACTAATCCTCATATCTAATTGTTGAACTGTGAATTCGTGACTGCAGCTTGTTTCCAATACGAATGTATTAATGAATTTACACTTACGTTATTTGAATGTTTTGTGCGCAGTGAAAGAATTTTTTAAAAATGTTTGTCATCCTAGGGACACAAAGAATAAATTTTGACTTTTTGAGATGCAAAGCTGTATTTGCAGTTACTAAATCTTATAAATGCAAAGTACAGTTCACTTGGCAGATAGTTCTGTAAGCATCACTTAAAAGACACAGAGTGCATCTGATGGCTATTGATCTGTTTTGCCACCAAATGGTGTATTGGAAGACACTGACAACCTACTTTTAAGGAGTTCTTTAAATATACAGTATTTTAAAATGAGGTAACAAAAGCAATTGTGCCTGAAAGTAATTGTAGTGATTATTAAAGCAAATATTATATTTCAGTAATTTGTCACACTCACAGGGGAGCGGCTAATTTTGTATGGGGTTGTTTCAGGGGTTTTTTTTGAGGACTTGAAGGTGTTATGTGATGTCTGTGAATGACAAGGGGCTTCTAAATTTAGTCTTACATACCTCTTCCCTATCTCCATATTATAACCTTATTGTTTCCTGTTTTTTCTTGCTAGCTTTTTTAATTTTGGGGGCTTTTAAAATAAATTCCATTCATGGTTCTGATTAGACAATTGTATTGGTCTTCCTGATCTCTGGCATAGTTGTTCTAATCTTGGAAACAGACTTATTTACTTGGTGATGTTTGTGTGATCTGGTTTCTAACAAGAAGAGCTATTGTTCATATGTTAAGTCATACTTGTGTTAGTTTCATTTGTAGCTGTTACTTGAAAAATACTTAATGAGGATTTACATTCTGATAACATGCTTGCACTGTGATTCATTTTATCTTTTTATTATCAGCCTGCAGACACATTCAACTTTGAGGGAACAGTCTATAGTCATCATATGTCTCCAGTTGCTACAAATCATACTTTAATAGCAGGTATGTATGTATTTTTAAGAAATACCCTGTGTATTTCAGGCTTATAGTAAAAAAGCATGTGATACTCAGTAGGATTTTCCTTCCCCTGTTGTATTTTTATGTAATTAACTCATAGGGCATACTGTCATTGGTAAATCAAAATATTACTCGTCAGTCAGATCATGTCTATCACATTTATTCTGAAATAATGCATCAATTAATTCTCCTAGATAAAAACTCCTAGCTGTAATTAGATTACCTTTCACTACATGAGTTAGTATTTGTTGTTATTGGATCCAAACATAATAAATTGTGTAGAGAGGTGTGTGTATTGCTTACCTGTACACAGTTTAACTATGTTTAGAAAAAAATATTTTTAATTTTTCAGGTTTCATGAGTACTGTCCTGTTTACCCTCAGTTTTTAAATTTTGTTTGTTATATGGTAAATTTACTTAGGCCAAAAATGTAAAACTATTAATAGAATCCATTGCTCTGTCTAAATGAACTGTTATGCAACTAACATTTCTCTTCTACTTCTTTGTAATTGCTAAGATTTTGTTTTCCCAAACGCTGGGGTTTTTTTCTAGCTGTCTTTGTTTCTCCTACAGTTGGTACCAAAAACCCTGATGTACAGCTGTGTGACTTGAAGTCTGGATCCTGTTCTCACATTCTGCAGGGTACTTTTTAGTCTGAAACATACATGTTAAACAACTGCTTTGAGTAAAACAAGTCCTGTAAAGAGACATTGTATACAATTAGTCTTTTAAGTAATATGTCTAACTTATTTATTACCAGTTGTGACAGTTACACAGTGGCAAAAGGTTCTTCTGGATGTTAGTCTAGTGCTAATGAATTAGAGAATATAAATGTTAATGAATGAACGAACAGTTATTACAGATATTTGGGCACTTTCGTGTATCAATATTGATTAATATTTATTACATGGACAAGTGTAGGCATTGGTTTTGTGTTCATGAAAATTCAATGTGGGGTGCTGTTTCTTTTTTTAAAAAAGAAAACGACCAATGCCAAACCAAAGAAAAACCCAAACAAAAAAAATCTTCACTGTTTTTAATAACCTATGAAGGTGCTTGCATGTATTTGTTCACAAGTTTCTTCATAACAGGCAAGATATTACTTGCTGTAGAAGAGTAGTATCTAATCCTTAGCATTTACCTAATTCAGTAAACATAGGGGCTTATTGTTCCATAATCCATTAGATTTTGCACTTAATGAGAATTTGCCCTTAATGTCTTTCCTAATGTTTACTTTTTGGAATATGAGTATATACAAAAGCTCAAGTTAAAGCAATTACAAGGTAAATCTTCATGCTTCAAACCATCAGAACAAGAACCAGATGTGGTCTAGAAACTGTAGTGTTAGCTCAGACACAGCAATGTGTAAATGCAGCTCAGTTTCTTCACTGGCCAACTCAAGTCTGAAAGCAGCTTCAACTTAAGTGCTGTTGTGTGATGCAGAGCTTAATCCATTAAGTCCTTCTAAACAGAAATTGTCTACAATGGGCATCTCAATGTTCAGTTTCTAGAACTGAGAGCACAGACACAAAATAGTTCTCTAGACAATCAGTTTGGTTTCTGCAGGATATGATAAATTTGACATAAGAGTTTGTGCTTTCCAGGCACAAGCTGGTTGGATCTTTGTACACAGCATGGTACGGTTAGCTCAAGAGCAGTATCAGAGGAACAAGTGGAAGCGGATTATGTCCTCCACTAAACATAGTCTAATCATTCTTTACAGAAATTGAACCACTCAATAGTGTCTTGAATATAGGTATGAATGTTTCACATAAGTAAACTCCAGCAGCTGAAATAGAGCTAAATGCTTGGCTGTAGTTTATTTAATGGATCCAGATAAATGTATCCCCCATAGCATGTGTATTATGGAGATTATTTCCATCATCCAGGGCCTCACAGCCTGTTGATTACTTCAGGCAATGAAAAACCAACTACTAGAAGATGTACCAGAAACAAGGTGGTTCACCACATAACTCTAAACTGCATTAGCAAAAATGTATTTGTGTAACTTCATGTGTTTCCATTATTACATAAAGTGTGATGGCAGCCTTTCCATTTAGGACACCTTACACTTCCTATTGTTTGTATTGAACTGTTTTAAACTTTCCAAGTCTTAAAGTATGTGCATATATATTACGTGTACATGTATTACTTGCCACTAAGTTGTGCTAGGTACAACAATGCAAAGACAACATGTATCTTAGTATCTTAATATTTCAGACCTCATTAAGAGGGAAGAGATCCCAAATTGAGGACAAGAATATTTGAGGACAAGTTGAATAAAGTTTTAATTTTAAGTACATATGGTAAATAAACTTTTTATTGGACATTTTGAAAGGATTTAAAGTAAAACAAATGGAAAGTCCCTTCAGTATTGAGAACACCAGTACTAACACAAAATTTAATAACAGTATTTAAAATAAACTCAGTAGCTGTGACTGTTTTATGTTTTGCATTGGTAAAACCATCTTTGTTATCAAGTTATATGCATATAATACTCCATGTATCACTTTCAGCTCACTGCAATCCCACTCAAGCAAGAGGAAGAAAGAAATAAACTCTAGTGCAAGATAATGTATTTTCACAAAATCCAAATTCATATTACAATTTAGATTATTGTTCTGGATTGATGGATCCTATAGGACTAAGTATTTGCTTTTTTTAGTTATTTACACAAAATGGTGTGTAGAAACTTTTTCATATAATTTTTAGGTCATAAGCAAGAAGTACTGGCAGTGTCTTGGTCCCCACATGATGAATATGTATTGGCAACAGCAAGGTAGGGATGTTGCTGGGCTGCTATATACACTAAAAATGTATGAAGGTAGAATTTTATATATTCGTTATGCATGTGTGTTACAATTCAGATGCACTTTTAAAGTTAATCTTCATCATGTACTTGAACCTATTCGGTTTTGTAGGTCTTGCCTAGGAAAAACTAAACCTGAAGAGCTGTCCAAGTGATGTTTATTTTATAGGAAGATTGTACAGAATTTTGGAACAGTAATTGCATTTTAAGGTATAGGAAAATGATAGAGCAATATAGAGATACTACTCATTGTTTGTTATTGTGTGCATTGTTAATCTGGTTTATAACAAAATAAAACATGTTTAGCTCAAAGTACCATTGTGATTAATCATGCTCAACTATGTCAAAGAGCGTAACTCAGGTAGCTGACAGGTAGTAATTTTCTAAACTGCAGTAACTGGTGAGTATGGATTATATGCTGATACTTTTGGGCTTTTTTTAATTCCAGTCATTTTTAGTCTAAAAAATCCTCTTGGCTTTCCTATAACTTTTGCATATATTAACTTTTCATTCTAACATTACATTTCTCAGTTTCATGGTTGGCATATTTTTTCTTCTGAATTGCAGAGAGGAATGGCAGTTTTAAACATTGAGAGTGAAATTTTAGTAACTTGATACCAGAATTGCATACCCTTGGCTTCTATTTCTAAGCTTATGAAAGGCTCAATGTAGTGGGTGAATTTTCTAACTTGTTTGTTTAGTAAATGAGAAATTGTTTCCTTGTTCTTCCATCACAGCATTAAATTTTGTTTATTAAATATTGACTTATTGATGTCTCCCAAAGCATTTTGCTTCTAAGTTATATAACTAGCTGTAAACTGCAACTATGTGATCATGTTGCTTTATAATAACTGCATGTTAAACATGTTTCTTATGGCTCTGTTACTCAATTCAGTACTATGGTTGGACTATTTGTTCCTAATAACATAACTCAGTTTTGCCATCTGCTAAGACAGATATGGGCAAGAGGTGGCAACACTGAGATAATGAAGAGGTAGTGAGGAGAAAATGACTGGTATTGCTAAAAAGAGGATCTAGATAATCTTGAGTATCAGGAGATGTCACTTTTTTCCAAGACGATTGTATGTTTGCTTGTGATCATGTCAGGGAGGGAAAACATATTTTAGGAGCTTGTGTCTTGCATATGAAATGTGTTACTTGAGATTTCTCTGTGATATGCAGCTCTCCCATAGTTTTGGCAGGAGATTGGAATCATTGGAGGGGAGAATTGTTTTCTGGGTGTCTTTCACACACTTCAGTTCCAGGCACTAGGGAAGATTATAAACTCTTTCTTGCTCATTAGAACTGGCTAGAAAAGATTAGCCAGTAGAATCTGTATCACCAGAAATGGACAACTGTAGGTTTTCATAAGGAGCTGTTTCTGACTCTGTTAAGAATATTTCAATGAACTACCTGTAATTTATTGCTCACTTTACCATTATCTTAAACATCAGCAGTATGTCTATTGTATCTCTTGGAGCACTGGTTTGCAGCAATGTAATGTTTAGTTGTAATAACACTTGGAAGTCAATAGAATCAATCTGTAGTGAAGAGCACAAAAGAACAAATTAGTCATTAGCTTTGTCAGATGAAGAACAGATAAAGCAAACCCAACTGTTGTTCCTTATTGGTTGGTATATATATGCTATATATATTCCTGATATTAATGCAGTGATATAACTTGAGAACACATAGGAAAAAGCATGTAGTAATTCACTTAGATTGCTTATCTAAGAAGCAGTTTGACTTGGTGTATTTCCCAGCTGCAGATCAGAGATGCAGTTTTTGTTTAGCTGGTGTGAAAAGTGATTTATATTGTGGGCTTTTTTACAAAAGGACAATTAGGTTGCTGGGAACTGTCCAAAAAGTTTCAGTGAATAGATTACATTGGTGACATGGGAAGTGGTCTTATATATGGATTTGCCTCCTACCTACACCTGTGGTGCACACAGAAGTACACTGGTAGAATACTGTAATGCTCAAATCAAACTGCACATCACGGTGTCTTACAAAGTGCACTGCCTGTAATTTTGCTGTCTAAGCATGCACCTAGTACCAACAACTATCACAGCTTTTCTTGCTGGCAAAGACAGTGTGAGCAAAGCATGAGCATGCAGCCTGGGAACCAGAATGAATCAGAGCAGCCTGAATCTTGGTCTTTTTTACCTTGTGCCGTGCTGGTAATGTAGACAAAGCCAGTGAGTTCCTACAGAAGCAAGCTCAGTTTTTTCTCTGCCATAGCACTGTGTGACAACAGAGCATATAGACCTATCCAGCCTAAAGTATGTAGCCAGCAATCATACTACAGCTCTAAGCACGAGTCTGAGTTCCTGGACAGCCATTATAAACAATGCTGAAATCTGTAGCTACAGTTTAATCAGCATAAGAACTGGAAGGTCTTACTAGTCTGTGCATGTATGCAAGGGTGTTATGTTGTAGACAGAGGCAGGTGTATTGTAGATGAAGACTCACTCTTAACTTCAGTGCCTGTAGTATACAAGCTGTATCTATTAATACATGTAAATGAATGTCTCAAGTCTGTCTTTAAAATCTTTTCATGAAATTCTATTGGCTTGAATGTGACTGCATGACGAGCAGTTTGGTGTAATTGCTGGACCAGGGTGTGAGCCAGGTGGGTTGACTAAAGACAGTTATTGAAACAGGGTGCACACAATTCCCCTAATGTAGGCAAATCTGTTTTTCTTAGTGCTGACAGTAGAGTAAAATTATGGGATGTAAGATCATCATCTGGATGTCTGATAACACTTGATCAGCACAATGGAGAAAAGTCCCAAGCATCGTCTGAGGCAGGTAATGACCAGTGGTAATCTATATGTAACTCAAAGAATTCTTATATTTTACAAATGTGTCCAATACCAAGACCAGCAAGCAAAGTAGTGCTAATCAAGTTGATATCTACTGTGTAACACAGGACATAGAATTCTATTCTGATACTTTTGTACAGACAGTGTTTGTGGTTGGAGATCTTGTCTAGAGACATCTCCTTGGCAGCAGTATTGTATCTGTTCTAAATTCTTTTCCTCCTAAAATGGATATTTTGCCACCTGTTTTATGGGTAGAATGAATTCCTGCTGTAGAATAGGTTTCATGTAAACAGCAATCACTTCATACTTCATATGCTGTTCTAGTAGTTAATTACACTCCTTTAAAAATAAAGACAACATGAACAAAATCCACAAAAGTGCATTGCTTTTCCTGTTTAAATTAGTCTTGCTTCCAGTGCAAGCTTCTAAAATCTTTCTCATATGTGGTGCTGTAAAATCAATTACTCTTTTTATACTGCATTAGGTATACAACACAGTAAAAATTTATTATTAATTTTACAGGAAGCACAATTACACTCATTTCAGGACAGTCAAATGCATTAATAGTACCTTGTATCAGTTATTAGCTACAACATTAACATTTTTATGTATCTTTAAATTTCCATACTAAACCACAAAATACCTAAATTAAAGGGAAGCTTCTGAATGTTGAATTAGTGAATGAATTTTGGTCAGTTCTGGACAAAAGATAACTTAATTTTGGCAGGCCAAAAAAAGTACTTGAACAGTTGCTCCTCTGAGGTAGAAATACATAGTATTTGGAACTGATTCATAAAATAGAAACTGTATCATGGCTCTGAACAAAGGGATTTGCATAGCATAAATGACAGTGGTTAAAGCTAGAAGTCACTCTGACTTGCTATGTGCAACTTAAATTGCACATAGAAAAACAGATGCAAATTTCTGAAGGCAAACTCATTTTCCAAAATGTACAGTTAGAGGATATGAAATAACAGTAAGTATCTGTTTTAATAACCATGCTCTCTACTATGTAAATTATAGCGTGGTAATATAGATGTTTGGTTTTGACAATTTTAAATTTCAGTGAAATTCAAGAAATTGACATGAAGATGCTCTAGGTAAATCTAAGACTTATACAAAACAGATTTATCCAAATTTTTCTTTTATAAAAAGAATTCTTTATAACTCCCAAGATAATTAGTGTCATTTTATACATTCCTTTGAATGACATGTCCTGTTCAAACACAACTTTTTAACTTTATTTCTGACAGATTCAGGATGATTTTTGATAATTAATGGCAATCACATAGACTAGGATATTAAATATATTGAAATATAGCTGAACTAAACCAAATGCAGCTAATGATATTTTATAAAATCTTGTAAAACAAGATAAAGCTTTTTACATGAGGTATGTTCAAGTCATGTGCTGCTGTATAATGCAGAAATACCTTATCCGTTTTTCAGTGAGTTAATTTATGGATACCATAATTAGGTTTGCTGTGGTAGCACTGAATGGTATTTTAGCTACTTTAGTATAATGTGCAGTATTGCAGGGTGAATGGAATTCATTTATAGTTACTCTATAAACGACATAGAATAGAATAGAATACTCGGTTGGAAGAGACCTACAGTGATCATCTAGTCCAACTGTCTGACAACTTGAGGGCTGACCAAAAGCTAAAGCATGTTAATAAAGGCATTGTCCAAATTCTTCTTCAACAGTGACAGGCTTGGGCATTAACTACCTCTCTAGGAAGCCTTTTCCAATATTTGCTCACCTTTTTGGCAAAGAAGTGCTTCCTAATATCCAGTCTAAACCTCTCCTGGCACAGCTTTGAACCATTCCCACACATCCTATCAGTGGATACCCAGGAGAAGAGATCAGCACTTCCCTGTCCTCAGCCACTCCTCACAGGACATGCCTTCCAGCTTTTCACCAGATTTGTTGCCCTCCTCTGGACACATCCAAGGACCTTCACATCCTTCTTAAATCATAGGCCCAGCACTGCCCACACTGCCCGCTCAAGGTGAGGCTGCACCATCACTGAATACAGCGGGATAATCCCCTCTTTTGACCGGCTGGTTGCGCTGGGTTGGATGCACCCCAAGATGCCGTTTGCCCTCTTGGCTGCCAGGGCACACGGCTGACTCACACTGAGCTTAGTGTCACACCAGCACCCCCAGATCCCTTTCTGCAGGGCTGCTCTCTCCAGCAACTCCTCTCCCAGTTCATACTTGTGCCTGCCACTACTCCATCTTAGGTGCAACATCGGACATTTTTTCTTGTTAAATGTCATCCCATTAATCAATGCCCAATGCTTCAGTCTATCTAGATCCCTCTGCAAGGCCTCTTGTCCCTCAAGAGAGGCAACAGCACCTCCAGGTTTGGTATAGTCAGCAACTTGCTCATGGTGCATTCAGCTCCTGCATCTAGATCGTTGATAAATATATTGAACGGGACTGGCCCTAGGATTGAGCCCTGAGGAACACCACTGGTCACCTGTCGCCAGCCAGATACTTTTATAAACCAAAAATTAAATTATTAATTTACTTTTACATTATCTTTTAAACAGTGTTTTTCAGTACTATACATGGAAATAAAATGTGTATAGAAAATAGTAATTATTTCGTATAAATCTGAACCAGCTCTTTTTCCTGATAGCAAACACTGCTCATGATGGGAGAGTTAATGGTTTATGCTATACAAGTGATGGACTTCATCTGTTGACCATTGGTACAGATCATCGGATGCGACTCTGGAACAGCTTCACTGGAGAAAACACATTAGTAAGTGTTCAAGGATCTTTGGTTATGCTTGTACTTGCACTTAGTTTTAGAAGACTTAAAATTGTGCAATTGTCATTACAACTTTGGATATTTATTCATTTTCATAGATATTCTTAATATCATCATTAGAAGATATTGTGAGCACTTTTTTTCCAGATTTCTTATTTCTAGTTACTAAAAAGAGTATGAGGAAGCCTGGATCTACTTAAAGGTTAACTTTAAATCCATTAATTTGTGAGCATATCTGAAAATGCTTCAGACAGTAATGAAAACCTTAATATGTAGTGACTGTTGGTAGAATATTTAACTATTAGCTGTCAGCATGCTATCCACAGGGCAGTTGTCCATACATGAGTTTCACTGACTGCCTGGCTTTCTTGCAACTTCCTTTGTAGTATTGTGGAATCTCTTTTGTGGAGTTGTATAGCAGTGTTAAAAATATCTATCCCTCTACACTTGTGTTACAAACAAAAGGGGGGTGAGCAGGGGGTGGTGACGAAATCTCTGCTGCTGCTCCAGTCCTTTCTATGGCTTTTTTTTTTTCTGAAAGTTCCTGTTTTAATTTTTTTCCTGTGTTTATTTATCCAGTTGTGATTATTGTCTGTCATTGCTATTAGGAAAGGAAGAAATTTTACTCTACCTTGGAAATCTTTTAATTCTGCTGCTTAGTTTCAGAAGACAGCACAATGAATTCCTTCTAGACATACAAATGAAAGGACTTTCTATCTCCCTACACCCCATATTTGCCAGCTTGTTCTCAGCACTTCATATATAGATTTCTTTGTCTTTAAATCACCATCACCAAGTAGATAATACAGTTTGTCCACTCTCATATCACCAGCTGGAGAACTGTTTTTTGGGGAGGTTTTGTGCCTGTTAGTTCATTCACTTGTTTCATCAGCTATCTTACAGTTTTCTTATTTGGTGTGGAATAGCTTGATCCTGTCTTGCTTTTTCAAGTCCAGAATTATAGTGTCCAGACTACTGTATTTCACACACTGACCAGAGGTATTGCTTAAAATAATTTTAAGGTACCAACTGACAAATACATGCATGAACAAGTAATATGAATTCATATCATAGTCTCTTTCTTCTACTAGCCAGTCATTTTGATCTCCATAATTTTTTTCTATACCTTTTTCAAGGTAAAGAAGTTAACCCATGTATATGATTTTTTTGACCAATTAGCCAAATTTGGGGCCTAGTGGATTGTTTTGGTTAGAGAAATGAGTGAAGTTATGTGCATATTGTGTACATCCTTTATCATGAGAAGGAATAGGAAGTCCTGGTTTGCTATGTATAGGAAGAGTCAAACAGAAGGAAGCAGGCTTTTTGTTTGTGTGTTCAAAAGACAGAACCAGTTTTTAAGATTTTCAATTCTTGTTTTGTCAGCGTCCTTCCCTTGCTATTTCTCCTCTGTCAAGCAGGAACACTTACACTGAATATATCAATTTACTTTCCTCAGCCTTCACCCTTCCCTTTCATTGTACATACCTTTGTTATAAGCAGTGTTGTGGCTTGGGAATTGTTGCTCTTACAACTCACATGCTGTGTAAAGGAGTTTGATTGCTCTTTATCAGCAGAGTAATATGCCTCTTAAAATGACTAGCATTAACAAGACTTAACACAGTCAATATTTGCAAACACTTTTTACAAATGAGCAGTATTATCCACAAAAGACATGATGTAAGCTCCACATAGCATAAAAGTATTCTCTCAATATGAAGGAATATAAACCTACTTTGTAAGCTAATCAAACACTTCTTTTGTATACAATTTTTTTAACTGTAGGTCATGAGGTTTAGATAGGGAGCTTTAAAATTAAACCAGGGAATACTGTGGTATTAATACATTTATTATATACACACTAATACTGTGTGTAAAAATGAATCTTTCATCACAAATTAAGAGCATAGCTTGAAAACAAAATATTTTATATAGAATGCTCTGTGGTATTAAGGAAACTAATTTTTAAATACTGTTATTTTTATTAGAGAACATTTTTAAAATCATAAAATATGTGAATTTCAGGTGTTGGTAGTGGGCTTCTGTTCGTGGAAAAAAGTGTATTTTTTGTCAACATTCTAATACATTGTTTTGATTACATTTGTTTAACTGTAAGCTATACTGTTCTCATTAATGTATTAATGAACTTTTGATGTCTAATCAGTCTAATTAGACTGATGCATCCAGCTGGAATATTTCCTAGCATGTTTGGAAACTTTCCACTTTCAACCCTTGGTGATATTTTTATCTACATAGGACTTTTCAAGAGCTTGAAACAGAGGCATTACTAAGCTATACTACCTACACCACTTTTATTTGCTTCTCACACACCTCAGAAGGCAGGCCTTAGAAATGTAGGATCTGCTCCTGTCCCAGCTGCCCTTATAGGGAACAGTATTGAATATCTCAGTGGTGATTTACTTTTAGGCAAAAGATGGGCTTTTTTGTCACCCTAACTATTCTCTAATAACTTAGCAAGTTACTATCTGTTTCTCTTTCTTCTTACCTCTTTACTTCACCCTTTACTTATGCCATCCTTCTGCTTGCCCTTCAGTTCTTCTCATAATGCCTATTCAATTCCTACTGTTTGTTACTCATGAGGGAAAGATGCAGAATCTTTCTCTATATTGCAGATGTTTTTCCTCTGCTCCTGCTTGTCTGAGCAAGGGATGACTTGCTGTGAGAAATCCTTAGGGTTAGTTCTTGTGTTATCTAGACTGATGCTTCTGTTCTTTGCCATCCTACTGGCATATACACTTCAGAAATGTTATTTTTTTGCAACACTAGTCAACTCAAACAAAAGGCACTTACAGGATAGAAGGTATTGTAGGTCAATTTTTGTTCAATCTGAACTAAACTTTTGCAGTATTGGGACAGTATTGGGATGTGTAACATCATCAGTGACATACAGTGGGATCAAGTGCAGCCTCAGCGAGTTTGCAGACAACATCAAGTTGAGTGGTGCAGTTGACACACCTGAGGGATGGGATGCCATCCAGAGGGACCTGGACAAGCTTGAGAAGTGGGTTCATGTGAACCTCAGATGATTCAACAAGGCCAAGTGCAAGGTCCTGCACATGGGTTGGGGCAATCCCCAGCACAAATACAGGCTGGGCAATGAGTGGATTGAGAGCAGCCCTATGGAGAAGGACTTGGGGGCATTAGTGGATGGGAAACCGAACATGAGCTAGCACGTGCCCTTGCAGTCCAGAAGGCCAACAGTATCCTGGGCTGCATCAAAAGAAGTGTGGCCAGCAGTTTGAGTGAGGTGATTATGCCCCTCTGCTCTGGTGAGACCCCACCAGGAGTACTGTGTCCAGCTCTGCAGTCTTCAGTACAGGAAAGACATGGGCCTGTTGGAGCAAGTCCAGAGGAGGGTCAGAAAGATGAGCATCTCTCCTATGAGGACAGGCTGAAAGAGTTGGGGTTGTTCAGCGTGGAGAACAGAAGGCTCTGGGGAGATGTTTTTGCAGCCTTTCAGTATTTAAAGAGAGTTTATAAGAAAGATGGTGTCAGACTTTTCAGTAGGGCCCATTGTGATCAGACAACAGGTAATGACTTTAAACAAGAGGATAGATTTGGACTAGATATAAGGAAGAAATTTTTAATGATGGGGTGGTGTAGCACTGGAATGTGTTTCCCAGGGGGGTGGTAGAAGCCCCATCCCTGGAAACATTCTAGATCAGGTTGAAATGGGCTCTGAGCAACCTGGTCTAGCTGAGGATATCCCTGCTTATTGCAGTGAGGGTTGGATTAGATGACCTTTAAAGGTTCCTTCCTACTCAAACTACTCTATTATATCTTTTATAACTGTATACTGTTGTGCCTAAAGAGTTCTTGTATAGTTTCAATACCTGAGAGAAAATTATGTTAGTCACCTAGGAAAATGTTTAAGGCAGCAATTCCTGAACCAGTTCTGATATCAGTGATAGTATGAGTGCTTGGTATAGATCTGCCACACAACAGCCTGTGCAAATTCTATTTCCAGTTGTGGAACTGCTGATTTTTAGGCATATCTTTCTTTCCATTTCTTAAAGTTCATATTAAGGAGAACTTTAACGAACAGAAAAATTTTCTGGGTAGACATCTGTAATGGGAAATGTCAAGCAAATGTTGGAGTTTAAATTTATTTGTGTATTAAAGAAGAAACAGAATTGACCTTTTCATGTAATTTCCTGTAGTTTTAGTTAATAGCTAACTGCATAATCATTCATTTTACAGGTGAATTATGGGAAAATACGTAATGAGAGTAGAAAAGCAGTCAAATGCACCATCTCTAATGGCTGTAATCCAGAGTTTGCCTTTGTACCAAGTGGTAGTACCATTGCTGTTTATGCAGTCTTCACAGGAGAATTGATAACTGTGCTTAGAGGGCATTATAATACTGTCAGCTGCTGTACATATCAACATAATTTTCAGGTAAGTAAAGTAGAAACAATATTTCAGACAACCTGCAATATTTATGTGCATTACCCAAACCGTTTGCACAAAAAGTGTTAACTTCTCAAGGATGTGCTTTAATCAAAGATCTTGACATAAGAGGGAGTTCTGCAACAAAGCAAAAGTTTGTCAGGTTCTTTCCATTGTTCATTTTGTCTTACACAGGTAACTTCTCAATTTTTGACATTTGTAATTTTTTTTGAATTAGGTTATTAGTGAATCATACATGAAGACTTTTGCCTGTTTTCTGTAAGACTGAAGAGGAGGCATTTGACTTTCTCTGAGATGTCAGACTAATCACAGTAAGAAAGAATGTGAAGTGCATTTAGGTGAAGCACATTAGTATTGCTATTAGTACTGAGAACCTCTAAGTACTTTACTATGGTAATCTTGCTCAAATGCCTGCAGTTATACCAATCACTGGGTGTATGAACAGTTTGGATGAAGTGTTGAGAACATGATGAGCTTCCTTAAGGAATCTGAGAACATTTCACCTAAAACACCATAGCATTACAGGGACTCATGGTGCTGACAGCTTTCTTTGTTTTTTTTTCCTCTCCCCTATAGTATATTTTCCTCTTGTAATAAAAGGCTTAAGGTTAGCAAGGCTTAATTTGTTATATTTTACAACAGATTGTTCTTATGGCTTGTGGTGTGACAAGAGCAGAGTTAGATGTAAGTAAGGATTTTAAGGCTGTTACATAGTTGCCCTCAGGTCCCCCTGGAGTACTTGGTCCTCTTTTGTTTCTGAAATATCAGGCAGAAATACTTGAGGCAGAAGGGGCATGTGGATATCTTCTCATGACCTCTCATACAGTACATCATAGAAGTGAATTTGGTAGCTCTTGCTTTGAGTCAGTAACTTTGAAACAATCTTTCATCACCGAGATGGACTTCACTGAAAGTTTTGGACACTACAAATGTGGCAGTAGAGCCCAAGTGAATAAGCCCTGGTAAGACCTGGAAAGCAGTTTTGGCCTGAATGGGCAGTGACATGTGAATAGTCCACCTTTTAGTGGATCTCATATTTATAGCTAAAGCACATCTTTTCTGGACTGTTCTTGACTAGCTTAAGCCTGTTGTTCTTAAAAATAGTTTCCAAAAAAAGTGCTAATGTGTTTCTATTAAATCGTATTTGGATTTCTTTTTGGTAAGCTGAAGAGATGAGGCTCATCAAATCTTACTGTAAATCATGTTTTCCAGCCCTGGAAATGCAAATCTCTTTTATAGTGTCTCTGTCTTGGCTTCTAAGATCCTTAGAAATGGACACTCATGTCATTGCACACAAGAACTGCATCAGTCACTATAGCTATAGGTTTATGTTGGCAACAAATTCATTTGTTTATCTGTTGTGATTTCTGATTCTCTTTCAGAATCACCCTTTTCTAGAGTTCAGTTCTATATTCTAGAAGTGTGACTGGAACTGGATTTTCTTTTTCTTTAAATGCTCTTCTAGTTGTATTAAATTGTTACTCTGATGGAGTAACATTACTATAGTCAGTGTGTCAACACCCAAAGCTAGTGGTAGTGTTATTTTGACTGTGTTCACACCTATACTTCCAAATAGCTCATTCTTTCTTGAGACAATTAATTACATTCATCAGATTGATTATAATAAATTATGATTTCCCAGTTAAAACTCCTTTTCTGAGAATGCAGTTCCTTGTAAAAGTTGTAGTTACCTGTTCTATTTCACTCTTTCAAGCAATATTAAGTCAGTGTTATTCACAGCTGTACACTTCTATTTTCAGTTACTAGTTGTAAAAAAAAAAATAAATCAATTTCACTTGACAGAATCTGCTGCTTTGTAAACTGTGGTGATTGTCCTGGTTCAGCTAGGATAGGGTTAAGTTTCCCCAGCAGAGAGGGGGAAGGGATCTCCAGCTGGGTTATTCATACCATGCTGGTGTCAGGTCCACTGCAGCAGCACGGGAAGCTTTCCTTTGTGGCTTTGGTCATGGGGAGCACGCACAGCAGGCTGGGTGTGTTCACTGCGGTATTTCTGTGTATACAGTTTGTCTTGTTCACTGTTATTACTGTTTATTGTTGTTATCATTGCTACTGTTGTTGTTCAGATTGTTTATTACACTGTTGCATTAAATTTCTTCTTTTAACCCGGGTTTGTGCCTCACTGCCAGCCCGACCGGCTGAGGGTGGGGGGAGGGGCAACAGCAATGTGGTCTGTGGTCCTGGCAGGGCTTAAACCAACACAACTGTTTACATTCCTATATCTTAATTCTATAGTAACTGAGTTGTTTAATCACATCTCCTCTTGTCTTAATTAGAATTTTTTAAATGTCAGTTAGTTCACTTGTATCTGTATTGTTCCACTTTTTCCTGAATGGCATGTTAGCTCACTTCCAGCTTTGTAGTATTTCAATAAGTATTAAAATGTAATTAACTTGAGGAAGCAAGCTTTCTTAGACAACCCTAAGCCTCTCTAAGTTATGCATCTACTGGTGACATGTGTAGCAGATGGCTTTCTAACGTTTTTCTTACTAGTACATTCGAAATTAGTACGCTATCTTCATACAAAACATCTTTTCTGCATAGTTTCTACCATTTCCATCTAGTAGTGAGTCTCTGTTAAGAGTTTTCTTCATATTAATAGTCTTCTAAACTTTTTCTCCTGTCTTTAACCCTGCTGATTTTTTTTGTCCTGCCTGCCCTCAAATCTGGTCCTTAGATTTTCTTACTATTTTTTTTTTCTATGTTCAAAACTTCTGATTGATACTGGTTGCTACCAGTCCCTCACACTCTTTCTGTTCACTAACTGTATTTTAATCACTGTTTTACTTCATAACTGAAACGGGTTCTAAAAGGAACTTTATCTTTTCACCAGTTATGTATTTGAGGTGAGAAGTGTCTTCTGTTTAATCAGAACTGTATGATCACTGATACTCAAGCAACTAGCTATTTGCAATCCAGTGATATTAGTCTTTATCTGTTCTTATGAGGCCAAATTAGTGGGTTTGTGTGGAATACCTTTTGTGTTTGAGATATTGTATGTATAATGCCTTTTGAGATCCTGGGAATAGAGCCATAAAATCTGCTATATTATTGTTGGCCAGAACTGTTCTTACATAAATATCTCTGTAAAGTTAATAAGATGTTAGTCTCCCTGAGTAGTAAGAGCTACAAAATTTGGCCATTAAATAAGAGCCATTAATTAATAGGAGGTTGGTAATTTCAAGGGTTGTGTTGAAGATATCTTCGTGTGGACTATTACATGATTTTTACTGGTGGATCTAACATGCTAGGTACTATTGTACTACACTGGTGGCTTAAAATACTTAAAAAAATACATATGTTTCCTTTTCTGAAAGGGAAATGGAGTAAAGCATCATGCACAAATAACACATAAAATATTAGGCATCTGCAGAGGTATTTGGCAAATCTAGTGCTAGTCTAATAAGTAAAGATAACTGAAAATTAGGTTTTATTTGCAATCTTTCCTTAGTCTTAAAGCATAGTATTTCCATATGTTGTACCATAAACATGCATAGAGTTCACTATTTCAGGTTGTAATAATTAATTGTAGCTATTACTGAATGCAGTGGATATTAACCGAAGATCTTGCAATGCCAGGATCAGGAAGTGCAACAAGTGTAAATATGGTATAAATAGAATTATGCTGATGTCACTATGACTTTGCTTACAAGGAGAGATTTTGGTGTGGGAAAAGGTTTTAAAGCTCTAGTGGTATTCTGTATCTTGTCAAAGACACAAGACCCAAGTAGAGTACCGCTGACAGGATAAAGTGGGATTTGAACTATACCTTGGCGTGACTTCAACCTGCCTCCCTTTAAACAAAATAAGTGGATGTTTCTCTCAAAAGTTATAAATTCTAATCTTGTATGGTCTTTTATGCATGAACAATTTCATGCATGGGACCAGTTTTACAGAAATGAGTATGTCAGTACTCTTGAGCAAGATTACCTACATAAATGAGTTTTTATAGGAATTGGACATTAAATTCCTGCACAATTTGGTGTAATTCACACAGTTTTAAAATTAAGTATATAAAGTAATTAATTTAGAATTAAGTATAAATAATACTGGAGACAGTCCTGTAATTATTTCTTGAACTTATGTTGAATCAGTGTCGTAATAATTTGCATGTATGCACGTAGTTGCTAGGCTTTCATGCTGCCAGCCTGAAACAGAAAAAATACTGGATATATTTCAGTTGGGCAGTTTGAACACATGGCAATACTCAATTGTTGTCAGACATCGCATATAATATGAAGGATTGTGAATCGAGATTGAAAGCATATGAGCATATCCCCATGCATGTTCATTTAAATAGCACTTTGCACTAATAATGCTTCTATTTTCCAAATTTTATTGCAAAGATGCTGCAGTATTTCTCACTAGCAAAATTTCCTCAGTTTAAAGTAACAAGTCTGTATTTCCTTTAATAAAGAACTAAGAAGACTAAGTTATATTTGACTGTTATCTGTGTGGTATAGAGACTGTTTGCTTCCATGTGTTTGCAGGGTGCCTTGTACAATGGGATCTCAGTCCTTAGTCACTACTATTAGTTATTTATTATTTTTAGTCTAAAATTGTCTTTCTGATCTCTGCCTTTCCAACAGGATGCAGATTTCAAATTGTTCTGTATTTGTTCTTTTCCTTCCCTATGCATACTTAAACTACACTGACTTAATACCTCTTTGTTCCATACATATGCACTCTTCTAACTTGTATTACTAGATGCTTTTGAGTTGGTTTGTATTTTTTAATTACAATAAAAAATACACTCCTTTTTTTTTCTTAGTTCTCCACCAATCATAAATCATCTCTTAAGTTTCTTAACTGTTAAAATAAGTGTCATTTCAGAAGACATGAGGGAACAAAGAAAGTGCATTTAAGCAATAATGCTCATTTAATTGTTGGTGGTGCTTGGTGCCACCAGTGTTTTGGTGAACGATCTGTGAAAAATATAAAAACTTATTTTGTTTTGGCATATTATTTAAGTCTTTAATATAGTGCTAATTAGAAACTGTATACATATCTTTATTTTTAAATATTTCAGGGACTTTTTTCCCAGCATTCTATCTATGTCACTGTTCAGTAAATTTGTGTAAAAGTAACTTTTGCTTGCTTTCTTAAAGGAAATTTATAGTGGTAGCAGAGATTGCAATATCCTTGCATGGGTACCAGCTTCTCAAGAGTTTCCTCTTGATGACATTTCTGCAAAGGTAATGAATTTGAACGGTAATTTTATGGCTGTTATACTTGGAGTATTGAGTCAGTGTTTTAACATCAAAATTTGTAAAAAATTCCTAATTAAGGGGAGAATCACGTATTTTGTTCAGTTTTTTGATTGTTGTGGGGGTTTTGAGAAGACATTTTCTTTCATATTATAGTAAAATCTTTTGCAGACTTCTAGCTTATCATGTATTTAACGGTAGCACTTGTCATTTGGCTATCAGTTTTTCAACTTCTGTAGTTTCTTTAATTTTCAAACTGTTTTCTGTAACTTCTGCAATTTTGGAATTGGAAAGGTTCCAAAGATTCTTCTTTGAATTGTTTTAAGTGTATACTATGTATTAAAGGGGAAGATTAGAGATGCCACACTTAATACCTAAATATTTTTGATGTAGAAATATAATAAAGAAGATTTTAGGAGAGCTTATTTTAGTGCCTGAGGCGAGACATTCCAGGTGTTGCAGGGAAGATCAGATGTAACACTGTTTGCCAAGGGGGTATTTTCCTCTCTTAGTATTAGAGCTGGGCAATAAAAATTTCAGAGTCTGAGGTAAAAACTTGTAGACTTCAAGAAACTGAATCCATTCACAGTATCAGTCTGGCAAACTGTACTAGTGTTAAATAGACAAGTTATATTAGTGTTTTGGCTCATAGCATACAAAAATTGCACTTTTAAATTTCTGAAATGTTCCATTTTGGACTGGGAAATAAGCATAAATTTTCTGTAACAGTTGCTTTGCTTTGTAAGACAACTTATTTCAGAACTATCCTACACTGAAGCAAAGAAGGAAAAAGTAGTTTCAAAGGTTAGAATAGCTTAAGCCCAAAATGTGTTCAGTTCAGCTGAAATAAACACTTTTGCTGTAACTGAAATTTTGATGTGTGAATTGCTTTTTCTTAGTCTGGAAAACAAACCCACATCAACAAGATCATTTACCCAGCTCTGGTTAGAATTGTCCCTTTAAATTTGACATGGTGGACATATGTAATATGTGCTATTGTTCTGAAATCTGTTAAGCTGCAGATGCTTTTGCAAATATTGTACATGATCACTGTCCCAGAAAGAAGCAGTTCTGCTATCTACAGACCACTGGTTCCTGCATCCTCTCATGTGCTAGAGCAGCTGTTTGAGCACCTGTATGACCAGAAACAGAACCCAGGACAGAAATAAACAAGAAAAACTTTACCCCAAGTCACTGATTCAGCACACTGCATAGCTGCAAAAACCCTTTAGCTTGACCCTACCGGGCTGAGGTGATAAATAGTTGTTGGATGTGGATAAGAGACCAGGACTACTTCTTGAGACAGTAGTGCTGTTACACTAGGTCAAAGAAGTTATGACTTAGAGCCAATGACAGAAAACAACCAGACAATCTATCCATTATATTTTATACCAGACATTTGTGAAACTTCCAGTTAGGGCTTCAGATGTTTTTGTTGAAATTATAAGAGTACTATTTCATAATTTATGCTGTCTCTAGTCAGTGGTGTGGCCAAAGAAATGGTTAAAAACATCCTGTACCCATAAGAGACACAATAGTTTGTCTACATACGGTAATTAGGAAATGCCTTTAGCATTGCCCTTACTGGATTTTAGTATTGTTAATTGAGTAAACCACTGAGAGAATTTTTATTTTCTTTAGTCTCTAGGTCATCAGAATTCCACTACAGCATATCAAGAGGCATGGAGCAGCAGTGATAGTGACGACTGATTTTTCAGTTACGTGTTGATATAAAACTGATGTTCAGGAACTGCATTCACAGACTTTATCTACAGAATTCAATATTGTCAGATTTGCTACAACTGGATTTTTATTACAGTTCTATTACAGCAAGGTCTTTCAGAAATAAGTTTCCACTGTTCTCTGTTCTTTCTTCACTGTTACAGCTAAATCTAAAGGATTATTTTTGCATACTTACTGATTTTTTTTGTACTTAACCTTATACATTGATATACTTCATTCAGTGTTGAACAGCTGATAACTGGTCCCAAGGGCTTTAATTTTTCCTTTAATACTGCATTTTTTTTCTGGTATCACTAATACCTAGGGAGGTATGTGTCTTGGAAATAAAGGGATTGATACAAAGGATTTTACCTGAAGGTGGACTAGTTCAGGGATAACTCCAGTTTATTTTTATTGATGTCTAGATGGAACAGTCTGTCCATTTTCAATTGTTTGTGTTGTGGGACCCCACATGATTTTGTGCCTATTTTGTGTTTTCAGTTCTGTGTTTTTCCATTAAATCCAGTATTCAGTTCAGAAAGAAATATAGTTCATCTATTCATGTATTCATATAGTTACCCCATCAACCAGTGTCTGAATCTGTCCCAGAAAGTTAAGAATAGGAACTAGTTCAAATAGTGTTGTTCCTGTTAGCAGGTTTTTAAGATCAGTCTTCTATATGAATCTCTCGCTTCCTTAGCCAGATAAAGAATTCCTGGACAGAAACTGACTTGAGGTACAGTGCAAGGCAGAGTGGATCACATTTCAAGTTAGAAATATCCAATGTAGTCTTTCAAAACTGTTTTCCTCTGAATTTGTGGTCTTAATGCCTGCTGTGTTTTGAAAGGGAGGAGCTTTAGGGGGTTATTGTCTAATCTCAATCACTAGTTTGTGCTTCAGACATAGTGTAGTCACCAAGCTGAGAGCTGAGTTAGAGGTTCCCGTCAGATGTAGATGCAGCTCTATAGATAAATTCTTTTCAGAGCAGATATTAGGACCACACATTCAGACAAGAGGAAAAAATCTTGTATAAATCAAAGAAAATAATCTTTGTATAGTCTGTATAAGTTCTATGATTTGTATGCATTGTAGGATTAATTCACTGTGCTTCTCTTTTTATATCTATAAAAGATATAGGCTGTCAGTTTCTGTATCAATCTAGTCTACCATTGTATAATCATGTGATGTGAGGAGGGGGCATATCAAGGGAATGTTGTAATTAAACAAGCTTCCTATATACTGTGTATTTGCTGGGAGAGATATACTGTGAAGTGGATAGCTGCAGGGTAGAAGACTTATGGAAGTTTGAGCTGAAGTTAAGAACCAGCCTGACACTGTCACTTTACAGGAGTAGAGAAGATAATTTTTTTTTTAAATTACAGTTTTCATTACCAGTGGTGACTGTTCCCTCTAAAGCTGGAAAAACTGAGGAACACATTACACATTTTGATTTTTGTCTTGAAGAGGATAACTTTTGTGTATTGAAACTGTGCATATCATTTGTATATGCCAGTTTATGTATTAATTTCTAAAAATGTGCTCAGTATGCCATAGTTATCAAAGAATAAATGCTTTTCTAATCAGCTTTCAGTTATCTGTAATGGGTTTTTTGCATGTTATAATTGTGCATATCATTTGTATATGGCAACTGCAGTGCATGTATTTTGTATTTGAATTTCTAAAAATGTGCTCGGTATGTCAGTTATTGAAGAATAAATGCATTTTTCAGTCAATTTTCAGTTATCTGTAATGTAACTACAAATGGTTTTGATTTTAAAACAAACAAATCTCAAAAATACCAGCTCTATGGTAGACTGGGAATGGTATATAAAATGGAAGTGGTAGGAAAAATTACATTTAAAGAAGGTGAAAAATCATAAATCCATATATAAGAATGTTGCATTAATTCTCCTGGGTTTTTTTTGGAATGGCCCTTCTCCAATGAGTTCCTGTTCCTGTGCTTTGAGTACACAATTATTGAGATTAGAAGGGATCACTGGAGATAATCTATTCCAACTTTCCTGCTTTAAACATGGTCAACTAAATACGGTTGCTCAGGCTTATGTCTGGTTGGGCCGAGTATCTCTACAACCTACAAACTTGTTCTACTGTTTGAGCATTCTTAGAGTAAAAGTTTCTTCTTAGATTTAAATGGAGTTTTCTGTACTTCAGTTTGTAACCATTGCATCTTGACCCATTGTTGGATACCACTGACTTAGTCTTTTTGCTGTCCCTTTCCCTGGCTCCATCAGGTATTTTTACACAACAGTGAGATCCCCCACCCTGAGCCTTTTCTCCAGGCAGAATAGTCCCAGTTCATTCAGCATCAACCCACAGGAAGAATCGCCTTCCTCAGCCTACTGACAGCACTCTTCCTAATGCAACCCAGGATGCTGTTGGCCTTCTTTGCTAGGGCACATTACTGGCTTGTGGTCTTTTTAGTGTCCATGAGGAGTGCTGGGTCCTTTTCTATAAAGCTGCTCTCCAGCAGATTGGTCCCTGGGCTTTTTCCTCACTGTGTGCAGAATTTGGTGTTTGCCTTTACTGAACATCATGAGATTCCTGTTTGCCTATTTCTCCCATCTGTTGAGGTACCTCAGAATGGTGGCAGCACAACTATCTGGTGTATCAAGCACTCTTCCTGGTACTGTATCATCTACAAATGTGAAGGCATGTTCTGTTCTGTAATCAGTGAAGATGTTAAATAGGGCGGGATCAAGTATTGACCCCTGAGTTGTGCCACTAGTGACTGGCTTCCAACTGGCCTGTCATTGATTCCAACCCTCTGGCCTTTCATCTGTTTTTCAGCCTCACTGTTTGCTTATCTAGTCTCTACTTGGTCAGTTTATCCATAAGGGTGTTTTAGGAAACTGTCAGAAGCCTTGCTAATGTCAAGGTAGGCATCATCCACTGTTCTCCACTCATCCACCAAGCTAGCCACCATGTTGTAGAAGGCTATCAGATTGGTCAGGCATGATCTTCCTTTCATAAATCTATGCTGACTGCTATCTTCTTGTCCTTTATATGTCTGGAAGTGGTTTCTGTCATTATCTGCTCTATTACCTTCACAGGGATATGGGTGAGGGATTGACCTGTGTTTTCTGCATCTTCCTTCTTAAAAACATGGGTGACCTTGGCTTTCTTACAATCCTCAGAATCCTCTCCTGCTCAGCAGGACCTTTCCAAAGTAACTGAAAGTGGTCTTAAAATGATATCAGCCAGTTGTGGGTACATCCAGTCATGCACTGTGGACTTGCATCTGTCCAGTTTAAGTGCTGCCCTAACTGATCCCCTTCCACCAAGGGTATGCCTTCCTTGCTCCAGACTGTTTAGTGGTCTCAGGGACCTGGGGTTGCTGAAGTCCAGTCTTGCCACTAAAGACCATGATGAATTAGCACGGAGTACCTCAGCCTTTTCTGTGTTCTTTGTCTTCAGTTCCCCTGTCCTGTTTAGAAGTGGGCCCACATTTTCCCTATCTTCCTTCTGTGCTGTAGGTTTTAGTTTTGCTTTTCATATTCTCTATTTAACTCCATGTGGGTTTTGGCTTTCCTAGCCCTATCTGTGCATGTTAGACATTTTCTCTATATTCTTCCCTGCCTCCACCTCTTGTATGCTTCCTTCATGCACCTTGAGTTTTGTCAGGAGCTCCTTCTTCATTGATGCAGACATCTTTCCACCTTTGCTTTGTTTTCCTGCATGTCAGAATGGACCATCCTCAAAAATCAACCAGCTTTCCTGGACGATCCTCATCAGGGCTATATCCCATGGAATTTTTCTAGAGAGAACCCTGAATAGGTATTTATCTGGAAATGTGGAAATTTTCCCCTATAATTCTATGGGGCTCATGTTCATACTGTTTCTGAATAACTTTTTGCATATAGTTTTGTGTAAGTTGCACCATGAATTCAGTGTGGGATTCAGCTCAGGAAGAGGTGAGCTGGAAGCTATCTCAAATACTTGAATATACAAATTAGTTGCCTTGGGGGCTTATTGCTCCTATTAGCAGCTAGTATCTGCTACACAGGAGCCTTTCCAATTTGTCTTCTGGTATCAGATGATGATGTCACTATTCTCCCTCTTTCCTGTTGTCCTCTGCTGGAAGGAGAGGCATTTCTGGTGAGGGAAATTGAAGACATTTGTGTCTCCTCTAGGCAAGAATCCAGGCACATTCTACAATCCAGCACTTGCAAACCTTCCATATAATGGCAGTAGCTGATAGGTGATTTGTAGTTTGCAAGGTTTGAAACCTCTTGGTACTAGCCAACATCTCAAACACCATTTTTTGTGAAAATTATACTTTGAATAATGGCATATATATTATTTTTTTCCCCTCTTTCAGCAGTTGTGGTAAACTTATTTTTTTTTCTAGAAAAAATTTCTGCTGTATTCTTATGGTGGCTGTACTTAATTGCCAAGTGTTGGTATCTTCAAAATGAAAAACATTCAAGGACAGTGAAGGTATGCTGTATATTATTTTTCACCAAAAAGAAGCAAGTACTAAGCCAATGGTGTCAGTTGCAACTGTGCATGTCTTGCTGTGTGTAAGTTAAATGTGATAATTAAACCAGAATCTTCCCCTTCATTTATGCCTATTCTGCTTCTTAGCTTATAGCATGTATTTTTATAGTATCAGAGCTCTTTCAGAACCAGAAATGCAACAAGGGGAGTAATACAGGCTTAATTGCTCTTCCCATCTTTGTCAGACAGAAAAAAAAAAACGACAAAAAACCCCATATTTGAAAATCCAGTCAGGTGTCAAAAGAGGTGCTGTATTCATGTTGAAATAAAGTTATTCACTTGAGTGGCAACTAGCTGATAGCTAGATTCTAAATTCATGTTAAAACCAGAAAGTTAAGAATTTAAAGAGAGAGCTTGAACTGGAATGGACTGTACTCTTATTGCAGCAGTGGTACTGGGATTTAGTAGTCATACTCTGTATCAGAATATGTAGAGAAGCTCTTTCATCTTTTCAGGCTGTTCTGGGAATTGACTGTTGCTTAGGCTTTGCCTGCCAAGGCAGAGATTTTTATTTCAGTTTGATGCAGCATGTACAAAAAGAGGAAAAAGAATTTATTTGTTCTAACAAAAAATCCTTTCCCTTCTAGCCTAAGGAAACAATGGAGATCAGAGTCAGTCTGAGCCAGCCAAGTTAAAGAAGTCCAGAGAGCCTAAGACAAACTTCCTTCAGCTTAAGTGAAAGTTGAATTCTGTAGAGACAGTAAAATAGGATTCTGATTATTTATGTCTAGATTGTGATGCTCAGAAAGAATCTGGTAGAGACATCCAAGCAAAAACCTGGTTCTTTATTTCTTCCTGTACACAGACCTGGAAAAAAACATTAGCACATGAGAATTTAAATGTGGTTAACTCCCAAGTATTAGGGAGAACAAGTTAACACAATGTGTTTACCTCCCTTTCCCCTTTTCTCTGTCCCCAGTATGCTCACTCCCACACACAAGCTGACAAGACTAAAAATGTGGGGATTTGTTTGCCACTTTTTTTTTTTCATTGTTTGGATTTGTAGTCCAGCCAGGCTTCTCACTACACAAGACATCTGGGTTATCTAATCAAGAATGAGTTCCTCATATGCTCAGTCAGTTTAGGGCTCAGAATTTAAGACTGCTGTCATTGTAAAGCTGAAAAGTTCTTAGATTTGAGAACATCAATAGAACTGTAACTTTTTTTTTTTACACTTGTGTTATAGTCTTTATCTTACCTTGAATGGAGATATAGACATATATGTGTATACACATATATATGCACACAAGATAAATATATTTACCACTGTTCTGGCACCATTGGAGGATAGTTCTCAAGTTTTCTTCCTACCTCATTTTTTAATGCACATAAAGGTCTAGTGCATACACTGAGAGTAAGCTCTTCAGTGAACACTGGCCCAGGATCTGCCACAATGAACGGGTAAACCTACTGTTACCTTAGTACAACTAAAGTTCGTGATACAATACATGGTCAAGTTATGGGCATATTAATTAAACTATGGGAACTGTCCAGATACATATTTTGGCATGTAGAACATGGGAACTAACGTGCTTAAAGACTGTGAAGAACGAGAACTTGAGTATGGCCATGTGTTTAGCCACCAAGGTGCGTGCTGATCTTTTGACACCTGAGAGATGTTCTTGGAGGCAGTATATTGGTTTCAGTGGACAGCAGTTAATGCTTACAATACCCAACTAAACAAAAGTATGTAAAATGTATCAATAAAGTTCTTTTGTGTGGTTACAGCTGAGTTATGAAATGGACGTGCCTTCTTCCATCCTCCCCTTTTGTTTTCTTTTTGTCTTTTTTATAAAAACAGTGGGAATGAAAGACAAAAGGAGATGACTGAGCTGCCAGGAATTCAGGCAGGTGCATAACTACTCCCCACAGCTTCATCCCTTCTAATCATATCTGTGTGCTGTGTAGTCAGCCTTACCCACCAGCCCACACGTTCTGCCCAGATGACAGCTAATGTCATCCACCACATTGGCAACCCTTAACCACGCCCAGTCCCTCCAAGTTCCACCAAGCCCAAGAAACTCAAAAAAAAGTATTTGGGGCTATTAATGCCGTTTTCTATTTACATATGAAAGAAGGTTTTAATTGCATAGGCATGCAGCTTTGTTCTCAGTTTTCATTTTGTCACTATTTGCTTTCAAATTAAGGCAGAAAAAAACCAGGATATTTTTAGTTATGCATTTTAGCTTTGGGCTAAGAAGGAGACTTTCAGTCACAGAGGTCTGTACACTTGGGAGATTACAAATCCGCCATTTTCTTGCAGCTGTGGGACAGAGATGCATCTGCAATCCTGAACAGGTTTTACAGTAAATTTCCTCATGCCAAATCAGAGATTAAAATCAGCAGTTTGAATCAGTCCAACCAGTTATTTTTGCAGCCATATGTTTGTAATCTAAAGTAACGTGTCTAAGCAAGAATGGGGTAATTAATTCAGCAACAAAAATAATATGCCTTCATTTAATACAAAATAGATTAACGGGGGGGGGGGGCAGAGAAAAGGGGAGTTACTAAAATCTTTTCTCACTCTTCTCAGCAGCCACATTTGAAAGATACTGAGCATTTTTCTTCTCTATTGACTGAAAAGCATTTTTTTAACATGCTTTATATTAGTTACAGGCCTTAGCCTTCAACAGAATTATTAAAACTTTCTAAGAAAATTTGGAATCATATTTTTAGAAAAGTTAGCTCAAAAAATGTATTCACAATAAATGAGAAAATATATTACCCTCTTGCTGGAGATCACTGGCAAGAATAAACTTATATTTGGTATCCAGCCAGTTCCATTTGTACTTAAAATTTTAAGTTGATTCTTAATCCTCTCTTTAGTGATTCAGGATGGTGTCTGAAGGAACCATAGTTATTAATGCCTGCCTGCAATATTTTACTTTTATCCCCACAAATATATCCTGGTCTGTATGGTGGATGTTTAATCTGTTAGTGCCATTTTAAGAAAGGGGAGTAGCCTGGAAAAAAAAAAAAAGATAAAAAATAGAATCTTTACCTCTAACTTAGGGTATGTCTGTTCTTCAGGCAGCAACATAACACAGAGATGTCTGGTTTACATGATCAACCCCACTACAAGCTAAAGTACTTTGCTGAATGCTTCATCAATTCACCTATATGGAGCTTAATACTGCCACGGCTAGACTACTTTGTTACTGTGTTAATATGTTTCTTTCCTATCTTCTGTAGATACGCTGCGTCAACATGGCACAATGAATGCAGCAGTCTGGGGAGCCCATAGTTGCTGTGATAAAAGATACACCATATAGGAGGTGTATGGTAAGAACATCAAGTTCTCATGTTTTGTGGCAGTCAGTAGGGAGTGTCTCGTGTTGCTCAACAGTTAATTACTGTTACTATCACCTCCTACACTCTGGAACACCTCAGGAAATCAGCTGCTTGTGATTCTCATGCTAGCAAATATATATTAAAAAAAAAATAAAAAAATTAGGACTTTATAAAATAGTAGGAATGAAGCTCTTTTGCTCATCACTAGTTCTTCCAGGTGGAATATATAGTCCAGAGAACATATTTTTGTACCTGAAGCATGCATTAGGGCATATGTGAGTTGAAGCTAACCGTCTTATATATCCAAATGGTCTGATGCAGTTCTATGGTTTTGCACTGCCACTAATGCAACAGGAGCCTTGTACTGAGCAGTTGTTATGCACATCTTCTGTGGGAAACTATCACATTTGGCACTTACTTGGACTGTATTGCACATTCTCAGCGTAGTGCATAAATTGTTTCCCAAGGAAAAAAAAAAACAAAACATCTCTAGAGTTGCATGGAGCTTTGCCATCTGAATGCTATTCATTGTTGTTTATAAAGAAAGTTTCGAGAACATTTAATTGTTTTGCAGGCAGCTAATGTACCTGAGGGCCTAAATGAATGTTTGAAAGAGCTCCTTCATCCTGTTCTACCACTATGGATAACTACTAAAGTTTAGGTTGACTAATGAGGTATATCAAAGTAATTTAAATAACACTTAGTGATAGGCTAGTTTATTAAATGTAGATACCTGTGAGACATGCAGAACTCCGGGATATCGTGATTATATCACTGCTTAGCAGAATTCCCTTGTGTTGCGTTATAGGTTTCAGTGCTTCAAGGAGGCTGGCTCTGTGTGCCCTGAACACATCTCACTGTTAGACCTCGTATCAGTAGGAAGTCTTATTATATATTCCAGTGACCTTGAAAACTGTGCCAGCAGAGCTTTTTCCCTACCAGAGAGAAGAAAAGAGATGCAAGTCAAAGAGTGGAAGGGGGTCCAATAGTTCCCAATATTGCTCAACAATTAAGCTTGACAGGCACAAGAAAAATGAAGATAGAATGTCTTGGTTCAACTGCAGCTGCCAACCAAGCAACCACAGAGCCGCTCGCTAGTTCACACATCCCTGCAGT